AATTTAATCTGATACTCAGTAATAATGTTATAGAAGTTTGTATTTATATGGCTTTCCTGAAATCCACCACTCCTGGCTAGCTCGCCAACTGTTAAAATTACCTGCTAAAGTGAGCAAGTATTGATTCTGAATTTAAGTTGTTTTTTGTCAATACTCTTGCTGCTACTCTGTAAATGAAGGAATAGCAAACAGACGCCAAATAGTAAGAATGCAAGTCACATATTATCCAATAGTATTTTCTTGCTTCACACCAGCAAGCATCTTGTGAAACATTTTACTTGACAATTGTTTAAAAGTGCCACCACCTGCTTGTCTCCATGAAGTCAGAATTTTAATGCCATATTGTGGATTATTCTAGAAGAAGCAATAACATTTCCATGGTGATGACCAAGGCTGTGCCAAAAATTGAAAGACTGATAGATCGCGATCTCAACTTCGATCGATCTCAATGCACATTTTAATTAACAGGTCTACAGCCAATCATGTGGCAGTGAGAGCGCATGGTGCTGATGAGGATTTATGCTCCTGTTCAGGAAAAAACACAGGCAGGGCACAGGTTTCTTCAGGAGTTGCACAAGTTTTGATTTAAATCTGCACAATTTGACTAAAGGTCCTGTGTCTCCTCTCTCTCTGTCTCTGTCTCTTGTCATCTGCATCTGTGTGTAAGGTGCCGTCTGGCCCACGCCTCCCCACCCCTCTGATCCAGACACAGCTCCTCACCTTTTCTCCTCTCTTTCTCTCCTCTGCTTTTTATCATTATAATCCTAGTTACAGAAAGTAAATGACTATTTTCTCACCATTTATGAGTGAAATGTACAACCTAATTTAACACCCAGACATCGCAGGTGTTTCTGTTGATAACGGTAGCTCATGTGCACGTTTCTGCCGGTAATTGTAATGCATATATGCATTTACGCTTAATATATTGTACAAACTCTAGAATTATTGGTCCTATCAACAGGAAAAACTGTAGTGATCCTGACGCCCTGCTGTTTATGCGTATCTGTTTTCAGCAAGATGGAAGAACATAGAATCGAAAAATCAAGATCGATTAATATGGGAAAATAAAGTGATTTATTTTATTTTTTTCTCATATCGCCCAGCCCTAGTGATGACTCTACCATAAAATGCAGCTTTACATCTAATGGATCATATCATTGCATATTATATACATAGAGCTTTTTAAGTATGCAAGCTCCATGAAACTTGCATAGTGTTCAATCCTATACGAGTGTTTACGCTTTTCAGTTTGTTTTTGTGCACCTTAGTATTTCATGGCTGAGTAATCTCAATAGGTCCTACTCTGCTTATCCACCTTGACCCAATTCAATAATGTATAAAGGTATACATTTCCATACATTTTTGAAGATGCCTGCAAGCCACACATGTTTTGATCATTGTAAACTAAATGCATATTGATTACTACCATTTCAACCCATCTTCGCTTCATCCAATCCACTACACCCCTTGTGAATTGCATGTAATTTCAAATGCTTTACACTGTTTTTCTGCTCAGTTGGAGTCCAATAACACTGTTGTATGGTCTAAATGGTGCCAGTGTAGTGTGTGAGCTGTGGTTGATTATATGGCTGCTGCTGCCGTTGATGATGGCTCTCCTCTGACAGTCTCTATGTGCATTAAATGTTTGCTCAAATCACAAATCCCTCTTTCCAAGCTCCACATGACACAAAAGCTGGTCACATGCTGTGTTATCCGTCGCTACGGAAAAAAGGGGGAAAAAACACGTTCTGTGTCAACTGGCAGGGCGGACAGACTGGGCGAGTTTGAGTCATATGGCACTTCGGTACATCCCTCTATATATTCCACATATGGATTTAGAGCAGATGTTCATTTTAGCAGAGGGAGGAGTGCACAAAATCTGCTTATGGCGTTATACAAGTCCTGCCTGTAGGTAAACTACATGAGAAGCATACTATTTATACCAATTATTACTATTACAACAATTACTATACCAATTATACTAACTAGTCAAAGAAGACATACAATGCTTTAACTTCATGACTTTTAACTGTTCAAAACGAACTGATTCTCTGCTCTTGATGTATATTATTTATGTATGTATTTATTTAGTATTTAAAAATGCACTATGCCTTTTTTTCTTATCTTTATGGAAATGCTGTTGCTTTTGTTGAAATGTTCCACACTATGAAATTAAAATATGAAGGCCCGTTCAGACCGGGGTGTCACGGCATCCAGATTTCGCGTCGGACGTGCCACGTCAAGCAATCAGGGATGACTAGACAAGGACTAGACAAGGACTAGAAAAGGACTAAACCAGGACTAAAGCAGGACTAAAGCAGGATTAAACCAGTGTCATTAGCATGTCATTAGCGGAGTATAAATATATACACGCCGCAGTCGCTGAGCCAATCGCCAGGACTGTACCAGGATTAAACCAGGACTAGACCAGGACTGAAGCAGTGTCATTAATGAAGTATAAATATATACACACGCAGCCGTCGAGCTGGTTGTTGTTGATGGTTTTATGTAATAAATACACTAAAGTCACTATCTCCACCTGATCTGCCATCATTCTGGGAAATTGCACTTGATTACAGGGCAACGGACACCCAGAACTTGCCTCAAGTTTTTTCCGTTAGTCCACGGTGTCCAAGATGCGTATTGAGGGCTTGTAAACTCAAATGCAAAGGCGTCAAAATAGAGGCACCCAGGGCATTTTTTGACGCTACAGTTTGAACGGGCCAAGGTCAGATCTATGGAGAAGTAACCGCATTCACAGTAAGAATACATGCTTTTGTGGTATTTTTGAACAATAAGAAACATGATAGGTAGATAGCACACTGTGGAGCAGGTTAACCAGTAGCATCTCCATGGAGACAATCAAGCGATGGACCCTTCACCTGAAAAGTTACATAGTACACCTTTTTCATTTTTAATCCTCTATTCTCAGGTGCAGGATTAGTCAAACGTGTAAATAAATCAAAATACATAGTGATATGTGTAACCTTTAATTTTATAATTTTTATGCAAATAGTTACTAATTCTGGTAACTAAAACAACTACTAACAACTAATCTAATAGGAAATACTAGCTGCAAGTTCCCTTGACAGATCTTTTGTTATGCATAGATATATTTTATGCTTCTCTGCAGGCGTACAAGTTGTTGCCGTAGCAATAAAACCCGGCTAAACTCTGGGATGTCCCTGTATCCGTCTGCCATAAAGACCTCCCCCCTTCTCTCAGTGTGACAGCAGTACTGAGAAGAAGCTACCCGGCAGAGCAGAGGACAGGCAAGGGCAACCACCAGAGAAACTCACACTAAAAACGTACGAAAAATACCATTTCGACCCCGCCCGGGCGCTAAAAGGCTTTGGACGGAGCGCGACGGACATTTTAATCGCCGTTTTTAGTGCAGTCATTTGGGACATTGTGCAAACATTGTACTCGATAGCCAGCGGTAGTAAAAAAGTTCGGATAAAAGAAGTAATTATGAGCAGAGCTGTACTTGCGGCTATGTTTGGGTGCCTTGTAAGTTCAATATAAACACTATTAATAATTTTGTAATTACAGTGTTGAAAGAAATACACCAGTCAAAAATGCTCCAGACGTAATAAAGAAGAAATGTATGGCACTCTAATTAAAAAGGATAAAACATGACTTCTATTTGATTGCATTTATGACATTTATGTGGGCTTGTAGGGAAAAGTTAGGGATTACACAGAAAACACATAAATAAATAGGACACTTTTTATGTATTTTTCTAACGTAGAACATTGCAACACTAATAAATGTTGAGTGTAATGGCAAGGTCAGAGTACTTAAACAGCTAGGCCAAGTGACCAATGCAATAATTCGTGGTATATCAGAAGATCATAATCAGATTTGATCATAAACTGTATAATGTATAATAATACAACTGTCATAAACTGTTTTCACTTTTCCCCATGAAGACGCCAACCATTAACAAGCCTGAATTAGTTTGACTTGAGTAACTTGAACTATTCATGTAATTAATGCATGAGGTCAAAGGTTATTACTAAACAGTGTTGATGATGTAATTAGATAAAAGCAAAAGCAACTTAATGGGCTAAAGTTCAGCTTGACAATTTGATTGAAAAACATGTTGCAAAAAAGTGGCAAGGTCCTGTTCAGATATTTATTAATTTTAGTTCAGGTAAAAGCACTTTACACAGTCAAGTGTAATGTATAATGAGCTATTTGAGAAAGAAAATGAGACTCATGTATATAAACTATGCATTTTACAAAATGTAAAAGCAAATAAGATCAGAACCATGTTCAACTGTCTAGGGCTGGGTATCATTAAGAAACTGTCAATATGATACATACTTCGATACATAAGCCACGATATGATATAGATCTCGATACAGTGCACTTCTGAATCAATATGGTATATTTCAAATCAATTTGATATGGTTCAATAAAAAAATGAAGGCTAATTGATGGCTGTGATATTAAAAGTCTTTGTTAAACCACTTCTTGTGCAACGTTAATATGAAACACCCATTTTAATCATCAAAACAGTGAAACTGTCAAATGTGTCGCATAAATGAGTTTCCTTCCTCTAAACAAGCAAGAAACTGTAGCACTGTAACAAAATAATTTAGTCAAATATATCAAAAAATACTCTTGACGATATATCAATACAGCAGTCCACGATACTGATACTGTATCATCGCAATAAACAATACATATATCGATATTTCGATATTTTTGCACACCATTACAACTGTCTGTGTGTCTCATATCTGAGTGAGAGCTTACAGGCTACAGTTAAAACTATGATTTTCACTTGTGGTTCAAAACTGGAAAAAGGACATTTAATTGAAAAGTATGTGGAACTCATTACTAATTCTCTAAAGTTGGAATGTAATATTTCTAGGAAATATTAATATCTGAAAACAAATTTTGAACTTAATTGGCAGCAGTGCTTTAAAATGGTTAAATCGTCAACCAGCTAAACTCACTCCCATAGTTGACCTGTGTTAGGGTGTTCATACCTGGCCAGATAGGGTCCTGACGAGGGTCTATCAGGTCGGCTGAGTTTGTCGTAGCAGCTCACCATGCTCTGGACCAGCGCTAGGTCTGGCCTCACCATTGTCGCCGCGGTAACAGCCCGACTCAACAAATGCAGAGCGTCCCTAATGTAGAAACTAAGCGGCTTACGTCCCACCTCCCCATAGGCCAAAAGTCCAAGAGGACCTCCAAGTGTGTGTAGGGCATCCGGGGACATAGGGTATCCCATGATCCATTGCAGCGCCGGCAGAGTGGGTGAAAGACGCTGGGCGGCGCGTAAAACAGATGAGAGACATTCGGGGTCAGATCCGAGGAGGAGGACGGAGGAGATAGGAGACTGGGATTGAAGGAAACGACTAGAAAGTATCCTTAGTGCTTCCTCTTCCCTCTGGTCCTCCCTGGTCTCCTCGCTGGCCTCTCCTCGCCTTTCGCCGTCGCCCGTGATGTGGGTGAGGTCGATGATGTCCCATAGGTGCCAGTTGGAGCCGCTGTGCATCTGGAGGTGGGACAGTACGCCCTCTCCCCCCTCCTCCCAGCCTGGGCACACCACAGCTGCCCCGCCCCACCCGCTCCGGTCCCTCTCCTCCTCGCCTCCCTGCAGGACGGCCAACAGAAGGCTGCCCAGAGTGGAGGGGGGCACACGGGCGGACATCTGCAGGTGGAACTGGTTCTGTGAAAACAAAGAAAAACAAAAGATAATGGTCAGGGAAGGTGTAATATAAATGCATTAGTCTTAAATAACACCGTTTCAGACGCTCAAAGCAGCTTAGTAGGTCTTAATCAAAGTTTGTCTTAATCAGAGTATGAAAAACAGTTTTGTGAAGGCTAAATGTGGAGTTTTGTAGCTGCTGCCTGATTAAACAAAGCTGAACACACATCACATCAAAACTGGGACCAAATCTAAACCTGAAAAAGTACTAAACAAGGACTAAAAGAGGACAAAACCAAGTCTACATCAGGACAAAACTCTGATCAAACCAGGATTAAGAAGGAGAGATAATGTCCTTGAAGTAATTTTGAGATCATTTGTTCATTTTCTGTTAGTTTGCACAAAAAACGCAAAAATAAAAAAATAAAATAAATATTGTGTTTAAAAGTTTATTCATCTGTAATATAAAAAGGGCTTCAAAGTTTCAGGAAATTAGTTCTACTTTGCACCTACAGGCATAAAACTTCCCATAATAACTTTTTAATAAGAAAATAATTACTTTATTATTACAACCTCTGACTAATTCTCAGAACTAAACCTCGGAAGGACAAGTGCTAAACAAGGACTTAAACGGGACCAAACTAAGTCTACATCAGGACAAAAATAAAAAGTTCATGAAAGTTATAAAAAGTTTCAGAAAATTTGTTTGGTTACACTTCAATAGCACCTACAGGCATAAAGCTTTCCAGACTACAAGTAAAAAAATAATTACTTTATTTTTACAACCTCTGGCTGTATTTTCTAACAAGCCAAACTTGCCATATGACTTGCATGTTAAAATGTGTAAACACTGACTTTTTATACCAGTTATGTTCATGCTGAAGAAAAGCTTTTACTCCTCCAGCGGTTACAAACAGAGATGAGTGATATCAGTGCTAATTCCATCTGAACAAAAAGCGTAACTACAAATTTACTTCAATTTGTGTGCTTTGTCATTGATTAAGGGTAAGTCAAATGCTTTTTCTTCATGGAGATGTAACTGCTTTGACTAGAATGTTTCGCAGTATGGTTTTACACCTTTCTATCTTCATAGAGACCAAACCAGACCAAGTTACAGGTCAGATCTGTGGAGAGGAGACCCAGAATGCTTGCTTTTCTAGGTATTTTTGAGCTGTAAAACCACTTGTAATTGAATAAATGCGGTGGTGCAGTGGGGATTTTTTAAGTGGGGGTACGTGATTCGTGACGTCATCGATTTGACCCCCCACCCCTCCTCAAAATGATGCAGAATCAGGTTATTAACGCCATTCATAATCACATACAGAACATAAATCATAGACTACAACACATGAACCAGGGTTAAAGCAGGACTAAACCAGGCTTAAACCAGGTCTAAACCAGGTCTAAACCAGGTCTAAACCAGGACTGAACCAGGACTGAACCAGGACTGAATCAGGTCTAAACCAGGTCCAAACCAGGATTAAACCAGGACTAAAACAGGTCTAAATCAGGACTAAACCAGGCCTAAACCAGGCCTGGACCAGGTCTAAACCAGGCCTAAACCAGGCCTAAACCAGGCCTAAACCAGGACTTAACCTGGACTAAACCTGGACTAAACCTGGACTAAACCTGGACTGAACCAGGTCTAAACCAGGTCTAAACCAGGTCTAAACCAGGACTAAACCAGGACTAAACCTGGACTAAACCAGGACTAAACCAGGACTAATCTTAGACTTGAGAGAGAGAGGGAGAATCCCAAGTCCGTGGAGCAGGTTGTCTGCAAAGCACGATCGGGCGATGGCTGCATTTAGCCCCATGGGGTGAGGAGCTCTGCACCAGTCCTTTTTCCTGCGGTCACCCGATGGCCCGCGCGGGTGCACCTCCAGGCCCGTCCTGACCCTTAGTCCTGATTCAGATTTGGTTTAGTCCTGGTTTATACCTGGTTCAGTTCTGGTTCAGTCCTGGTCCCTCATGTCTCAGGTCATTATAGGACAGTAGTGCAGATATAATGAGCCTATGCAAGTTGTTTTCATCATTGCCAGTGGCTCTGGTTTGACATTTAAGTTGTAGGCTATTTTATATTTGTTATTTTTTTTTTAAATCTCACGTCGAAAGAAGTGGGTCGAGAGTGTACCCCTGCGTACCACGCCCCCTACACCCCTGAATAAATGTAAGGTAGAGCTGTTTAATAAAAGTTTTGGAACATTCTAGGCAGAGCAGTGATATATCCATAGAACCAAGTTATTTACATTGATATGGGCAAAATAGTTATCTGCTACAACAGTAAAGGAAATATTGGTATCTGTGAAAAATAAAAATCCTTATCACCCAAGTTACAAAAGTTTCTTTATTTACCAGTATTGTGTCATCTAAGGTAAAAATAACCAGTGAAAAGAGATGGGGAGGAAGATTTGAAGAGGCAAAAATCCAAAAATAAAAAAAGACATAGCCCCAAACGGTTTTCCCAAGGCTGAATAACCCACAATCACATTTTTACACTGTGCTTTTTATGTGAGCAACAGGGCTCCAGCCACCAGCACTACACACAACAACACTGAACCAAAGCGATCCCTCACATAAGTTCATTATCGGTGAGAAAAAGAGAGTGGCGCGACTACAAACAAGGAGTCAATGATCCTCCTCTAATCTGCCACATCACAGTTGGGTTTGGCAACGCAACAGTAGCATTCACAGTCCATCCACAAGCTTGCATCTCCAATAAAGCTCCTCTCAACATACTGGCTTGTTTCATACTGTTCCAAAATGGATAACAGTGTTGTCCTTGAACGCAGCTCACAGATGGACCAGCCGTCTCCCTTTTTCCTTTGGGGGAGCGTTCATTTTTCATCCTATCAGCGCTCCAGGCAAGGTGGAAGAGGGGTAGGGATTGTTAAGATGCCCATTTTAAAGTTAAGCAGGGTGAAGCTGGTGGACAGTGGAGGTTTTTGAATTTACAGAAGCGTGCAATACAATGTAAATATAGAGTCTTTACCGAGAAATTAACGTTTTGTGGTTCAAAAGATAAAGCAACGTAAAACAAAACGAATCAATTCTTTACTGATGTTTGACCAAATTTGATGAAGGTTGCAAAGGTTGTAATAACCACAAGTCAGTGCCACCCTATTGGATTATTATTATTGTTTCTCCGCTAAATGAATCGCAGTTTTCAAGGTGTAAACAAGCTTGAAAACCCGTGAAAACTGGCACATAATTAAGAGGTCGACTCAAATTTAAAGTTTGTGAAGTTACTGAGATGACAAGATGGCTATTTGGAACTCTGGTATTTTGATTTTTTTTTTTTTTATCATAGCAGGATGAAACTTGGCAGGTAAATAGAGCATCCCGAGATAAAACAAAAGCATATTATGGCCCCGCCCTGAGCCCCATGTTGGTTCAGACTGTGTCCAAAAACTAGATCTTTAACAAACTAGTCCTACAGTTTAAATTATCTGACTGACTCCAAACTTTGGCAGGACCATCAGGACAAACTGTACGTGAGATCAAAAGTCTCAGTGTGTGGTCAGTTGCGTGTAAGTGGTATATCAGTTACCTCACTAGCCAGAAAGACACATTTTGACGAAACTTGACAAAGACGAGTCAATCTGGTGCTCTGTCCTGTCTCTCTGATTTCACAGGAGACGCATGGTCTGTTTCCATCAAAAACAAGCAGTAAAAAAGGTGAAAAAGCAACATAAAGGACTGAGCCAGCGCAGATTTTTGCAGAATCAACAGTCAAAGCAACAAACTATTACTTATCATCTCAGGTAAAAGAATTATATGTTTTATTCTGAATGATGCGAGAATTTGGAGAGGAGATGTTTTCTGCATTTGAGAGACACGTGATACAAATTAACAGCTGTGGTTGGATCGTCTTAAGTTTGGATGGAGGATTTTCACCCTCTATTGGGTTCGAACAAAATGTAGAAGGGACTGGCTCGTCAGGAAAGTATATCAGTACAAGTGCAACAAGGACTTTGGACAAGTACGTCACCAGTTTCTTAATATAGCCCCTTCATATTCAAACTTTGGCAGTGTAACCCATGTGGATTTTTAAAAATATACTCCAATAAACTTTAAATTTTACGCACGCATTGTATAGTACACCTGGCACTCGGCCTGCATAAAAAAACTGCGCTACGTGTCTGAAGATGAGACATTCCTTCTCAGCTGCATGCGACGCACACATTTATTCAAATGGAAATACCCCACCCGGGAGTACAAAGTAAACAGAGCGGCCCCTTCGCCAAAGTCCTTGAGTCCCTAAAGAGCAGAGGAAAAAGTGCTCTACTGAAGTCTGGGGAGACATGGATGAATTAATGCGGAGTATGTATTTATCCTACTGGGAGATAGGAGGGCGCTGGGGCTGGCTGTTTGAACTCAATGGGGAGGCAGGAAGTCAGTGCTGGGTGAATGAGAAGTGACTTATAAGTGAGATATTATTGAAACAAAGCTGGAGGAAGAGCAGGCATGCATAGGGGCGCCAGGAGGCCATATCGGACATTGATTGTGGAAGGATTCATACACTCAATAAAATATACTATGTGATGTGATGAGAGGAGATCAAAACTGAACCGGACCCTCAGGCGCCGGGAGAATTTTTATGTAAATCCAGCTGCAGCCCTTTCATGTGTCTTATCTGTATTATATCTATAGGATTAAAGCTGTGAAGGAAACTTTTAGGGACATAGGAGCTGACTAAGAATATATAACTCTCGACACTGTAAAAAAAAAAAAAAAAGAAGAAGAAGAAGTCCCAGCAATGTCCCTTTTCTTTCTATCTATATTTAATATTAAAATATAATGAGCATTTACTCTTTTTGCATGAATTTCCATAACTTCACATTGCAGTTTGACTATTTTTAAGGACACAAATTATGCACAAGTATTATGACATTGTTCCCTCATCAAAATTGTTGTTGGTTGGTTGTTGTTGGTTATTTGCTCTTGGTTATTTGCTGTTGTTGGTAAATAAACTCAACTTTACAACATATAAACCATAAGGACTCTAGAGCCACATCAGC